AAATAATAAATGTAGTTTATTTTTTCACAAAAATGCCGTTCATTTAAACGTGAGATATGTATGCAATTGGCGTGAATGTCACAAACAGTTTACGTCAAAACACGGATTATTTTATCATAAAAGTAGTGTTCATTTGAAAGAAAAGAAATACAAATGTGAAGAAGAAAATTGTGGCAAAAGTTTTACATCAAAAGGTGCACATGATTTACATAAACGTCTCCATTCGGGAGAAAAGCCATTTGTTTGTCATTTCAATGATTGCAACAAAAGTTTTGCTAAACGAGATAATTTTATTCAACATAACATGAAAATACATTTGATTAGAAAATTTAAATGTAGACATCGTTCATGTAATAAATATTTTACCGATAAAACTGCATTAAAACAGCATATAATCGATGTCCATATGAAGGGAAAGCATGTCCACCAGTGCTCGCAACCAAACTGTGGACAAGTGTTTAATTTTAAATGCCAATTGAATCGACACAACCTTTCCGTACATTTAAAGCAAAAACCATTCAAATGTGATGAACACAAGTGTCAGAAAAGTTTTTCCACACAATCAGACCTCAATAGACACCAGAAATCATTGCATAAGAAATGATAATATTATAATAATTTGAATTTCTCAGTTGATTGATATAAAATTAAATATTAAATAATTAATTGTAATAAAAAAAAGTTGTTTTGACAAATACTACAATAGAAAATGATATCTGAAGCGCTTTAAACAATGCATACATTTAGTAAAATAAAAATTAATTTTCGTTATCAATAATTGTCAAGATAGTTATTAAATATTTAAATAGCATTGTATTTACAATATATTTTATTATATTAATTAAAAATGTTTTATTTTATATATTAATTATTAATTAATTGTGTATAAAGCAAATAAAATATATTTATATAAAGCAAATATTAAAGTAATTTTTTAAAACTTAGATTACAAATTAGATAAACAAATAAAAATGTGCCAGAGTATCAATTAACTAAACAGTAACCTTATCACTATCACTATCCACAAACTCCTTGTGCTGTATATCCCTCTCACGTCTCAATTGCTTTTTATACAATTCATTGAATTTGGTGACCATAATAGGTATGGGAAGGGCTATCACCACAACACCGGACATACAGCACACTATACCCCATGCTTTCCCAACCATAGTGGTGGGAACTACATCTCCATAGCCCACAGTAGTCATCGTAATACAGGCCCACCAGAAGGTGCCGGGAATTGACCTAAACTTCGTGTTAACCTCATCTTTCTCTGCATAATAGACTTGAGTCGAGAATATAATGATAGCGATCGCCACCGACAGCGCCAGTAGTTCTAACTCGCGGCCACTATTCAGTAACATTTGTCCCAAAACCCGGAGTCCATAGGAATGCCTACCGAGTCTCAGCACCCGGAGTATACGGACACATCTTAGGATAAGTAGCTTTCGCTGGATGTCCTGCCAGTATGTATAGCCCCTTTGGGAGGTGTTGCCTAACATTAACCCATAATATGGCAAAATAGCCCACAAATCGATTACATTGAGCGCCCCCTTCAGGAACCGGTACTTATTTGGTGCGGCTATTAGTTGCAGACCGTACTCCAGGGTAAACAATCCCACACATAGACCCTCCAGTAATAGTAGTTTCCTATTTTCTTCGGGAAGTCTAGTAATTGGATCCGTTCCCAGAGCATCTCCATTGAGCTCATGATGACTACAACTGTGGACACAATCGTGAATAGTATGGATACAACAGATAATATCCGGGCGATGGGAGAGCTGTATGGCTTGTCCAGCACTCGCCATAACCGTTGTTGATAGGACAGACTACCGGTGCTCGAGGGTCCGGTGCTGTCGACTATGTGTTTAGCTTCATATTCTTCATCATCGCGTATGTCATCCAATAGTTGCTGCTTTCTTTGGTGGTACCGGCGCTGACAGCACCGGGATATCAGGCATTCAGGTACTCCAGCTCTTTGCTAAACCCTAGGGCACAAATACCTTCAGTCAGGTGTAGGCTATCGGTGCGATAGAGGGCTAGTATGGGCTCGAATGTGGTGTTATTCCTATCGAAATAGTACTCATTATCGGTGAGGTTGTAGTCATCGCACAGTTCGCTGACCACAGCTTTAGACTCCCGGAGCCGACCTAATCGGGTGAGCGGTAGGCGCTCCAGACTTCGCCGCATCACCACATGTTTGACCCCTCCTATGTTTAGTATCACTTTTTGGTCTCCAGTTTTATCATCAATTTTTGTTGGATCGGTATGTGAGTTATCAGCACCGGTAGCATTAAAGTGTAACTCGTGTTGGGATACAGGTGGCTGAGATTCATGTGCCAGTGAGATGGGTGTGACCTCCAGTTTCAGGGAATCATACCTTTTCTGTATCTTTCCTGACATTACTTTATATTAGATATTAATTATAAATATAATTTTTATATAAATTACATATTTTTGTTTGACACAAACTATAGTATATTTACAGTAGATTATAAAGTTCCGTATTATAAAAATATCATTAGTGTGAATATAATGTTAATACATGTATAATAAACATGAATTCTACATGGTTTACAGAATATGTTAGGCTTTTGTAGGGACTGTATGTTAATTTAGGCAATCTCTATTCTATTAAAAGAATTTTAATAAATTTAATATTTACAAATAAGAATTTTACCACGGTGTATTTTAATGTGTATAATAATAACATTTGAGTATTAAAAGTAGAAATTGTGACAAATTGTTAGTTTTTAAACACTCGGTTTATCGCTACCACTGTTCACTACCTCCCTGTGCTGTATAGTCCTCTCACGTCTCAATTGTTTTTTATACAATTCGGTGAATTTGGTGACCATTATAGGTATGGGAAGGGCTACCACCACAACACCGGACATACAGCACGCTACGGCCACGGCTTTGCCAAACATAGTCGCGGGAACTACATCTCCATAGCCCACTGTAGTCATCGTAATACAGGCCCACCAGAAGGTGCTGGGAATAGATGTAAACAAGGTTTCCGGCACATCCTTCTCGGCATAATAGGCGAGAGTTGAGAATATAATGATAGCGATCGCCACCGACAGCGCCAGTAGTCCTAACTCGCGGCCACTATTCAGCAGCGTCTGGCCCAACACCCGGAGCCCATGGGAATGCCGGCCGAGTCTCAGCACCCGGAGTATACGCACACACCGTAGCGCCAGTAGTAGTCGCTGTAAGTCTGACCATTGGGTGCTTTCTTTGGTGGCGGAGCTGTTGAGTAACATTAGCCCAAAATAGGGCACAATTGCCAACAAATCGATGATATTTAGCGCCCCCTTCAGGAACCGGTACTTATTGGGAGCGGCTATTAGTCTCAGGCCGTACTCCAGGGTAAACCAGCCGACACACAGTCCCTCCAATATCTCCAATATTATAACTTTCCTATTTTGTTTGAAAGCACCGGTAGTTGAGTCGTACTCCTGGACTGAGCTCACGATGACTACTAGGGTCGACACAATCGTGAATAGT